AGATGTTGCGTTGCTGGAACATGTCCAGAGGAGAGCTACCAAGCTGATGAGGGATCTGGAGCACAAGTCATACAAGGAGCAGCTGAGGGAACTGGGGTTATTTAGTCTGGAGAAGAGGAGGCTGAGGGGAGACCTGATCGCCCTCTACAACTACCTGAAAGGAGGCTGTAGTGAGGTGGGGGTCGGCCTCTTCTCCGTGGTAACAGATGATAGGATGAGAGGGAATGGTTTGAAGCTGCGCCAGGGCAGGTTTAGGCTACACATTAGGAAAAACTTCTTCACTGAAATGGTTGTCAGGCTCTGGAATGGGCTGCCCAAGGAGGTGGTCGAGTCCTCCTCCCTGGAGGTATTTAAAAGAAGGATAGATGAGGTGCTTAGGGACATGGTTTAGTGGTGAGATGGCAGGGTTAGGTTAAAGGTTGGAGTCGATGATCTTAAAGGTCTTTTCCAACCAAAGTGATTCTATGATTCTAAAAATCTCTGTTGGGTATTTATAATATAGCCAGTTCTTGGAAGGGCCTTTTCTGGGTGCTAATAGTTTTGAGCTCCTTGCGACTGTTAGTTTGGGTATTTCCAAGAGTTATTATGAGAAAGTGTTATTTTCTGTGTATGAGAGGGATAGAATTGAGGCAGGCAGAGATGCTGAATGACTTGCCCTTTACAGCTGATGAGGGTCCTAAATGAAGCTCTTCTAATTAGCAGGCAGTGGTACAGACTGGTTAATGCCCAGCCACAGGAGAAAGGCAGTGTGGGGATGGAAGCTGGTTTGCAGGAGAGGACATGGTATAGCTCCATAAATGTAGGTTGGGGAGTGTGCCTGGAGGTATGAATTTTCAGCATGTTGTTTGAGGGGGGTGGAGGGAAGGAGACACTGAACATCAGCTGCAGCCAACATTCCTTCTACTTTACAGAAGATTTTGCTGATCCCTCTCGTACTGGTTTCTTCAAATTAGGCAAAATGTTCTTCCAGTGCTTCAGAACAAAAGAATGCACCATTGTGTTTTTCTGTGTGGAGTAATAATGCTGCTGTTGATTTATTTTTATTATTATTTTGTTTTGTTTTCCAGCTGCTGCTGCGGAAAGCTCGCTCAGGTTACTGTCCAGCGTGGCCCAGGAGGTGAAAGGACGAGGTACTATAAGCTGGATAGACTGCGGGTATGTGTCATGCTGTTCTTCTTTATTTTCCTCTCCCCTTTTGGCTTTTATTGCTGACTTAGCTTTTTTGATGGCTCTGAAACATTTTGCCTGTAACTGAACCTGCGTAATTCTGTGCAGTTTCTTCATAGCTGCAGGGAGCCTACATCTCTACCATCCTCTCTTCCTTTGGACCAGTAGTGGGGAATCATTTTTTCCTTATGGCTATTGTCGCTTCTCCTCTGACAGCATGTTTTTCAGTCTGAAGCTGGAGATCCCAGCTAGCATTGCCTTTCATGAGGGACACGTAGCATGGAAACTCTGACTGCTCCGGCTTTCCCACAGGCTGGGGGGGGAAGAATCCCACATGTTGTGCCCCAGCTGGACGGCAAGGCCATTCTGCTCCAACAGCAAATGTTGCACGAGCAGTAGGGCTGTTCGCTTGGTTTTGAGGCATCCACCCATTTGTGTTTCTCAATAAAATGTGCTTTCTTTTAAAGAACTTCCTCTGTGTTTGTATAGGTTCATGGCAATTTTTAATGTGAAGGCAGGGACTTGTTTTTCTAAGTGGTTGCTTGTGTGGGGAGGAACAAACAGGTGTGTACTTTCTGGTTTGCAGATGCAAAAGCCTCCACTGTGGTTCTGCTGAATAACATGTTGCCTGTGGTTTTAGCTTGTGTATCGTAGTGCCTCTCTGCCTCTGCAGCTTTGAGAGCTCTGCCTACAGGTGGCAAATTCTCCTTCCTGCGCTGCAGAGGAACAGCTCGCTGCCTACCTGTGTGTTTGGGTGGATTGCCATGGTATGAACAAACTGCACACTGTGCGCAGATATGTCAGCTCTGATAATTGTGTGGCTCCCTTAAAATTACACTTTTGAAACCAACCTCCATCCATCAAGCAGTGACCCAGAATAAGTCATTGCTAAATCGAAGTTAACATGCTTCTGTTGTTGGTTAACCTGTCTTGCTCTCCCCCTGCCACCAGGCAGGTGTCTCTCCCGTGGAGTCCTCTGCTCCTCCCTTCTGTTTGCATTCTGCCGGGCTTGTCCAAATGCACAGACACTTTCATCTCTGCCCAACTGATGGGAACAATGTTCCAAGTCATCTGCTGGCAGAAAGTGACCTCGGAGGTCAGTGAAGCCTGTGCCACCTCCCACCTGCTGAAAAGGCAGCAAATAAAATTGTATTGACCCCGATGAGGAGAACATTGCATGGAGATCTGGCATACCTCTGAAATCCAGTCTCCTTTTGTAACAAAAGCACTGGTAAACAGTTTTTGGTTGTCAGTAATGATGGCTAGCAAATAGGATACTGGGCCAGCTTCTTGGCTTTAGTTTCTAATAGGTCCCTTTTGCGACTGTGGAGAGGTCACTACTTTTTTGTGTCTTCTGTTTCGGTTTAGGCTGGCTCTGTGTTGGGGCACTTACTGCTTCCTCTGTGTGTGTGCACGTGGCACATGTGTACAACTGCTGGAATGATGAGGCTGTTCATCTGGCCCTTCAAAATACTGCTATAATACAACTAAGCAATAACCATTTCCAGGATTTATTTTTAGTTCTGGATTGGGGAAGGGAAGATTCAGTGTTTAGGACTTCAGTTTGAAATCTAGGGAAGTTTTGTCACTTAGTTCAACGATCAGTCTCTGCTCCTGAGTTTGCAAGTGATGGTGATGGGAATGTGTTGTTTGGTTTTGTTGTAAAATAAACTTCAATTTGTCAAATCCTAATATGTGCTCCCTTTCCAAATGTTGTCATCTAAACTAAACTTTGTTATGGAAGTTTCTTGCAAGAAATGTATTTTAAAGTCTCCTCCAGATAGTGCTTTAATACATTTCATAGGAAGCTGGGTACTTGCAGCACCTTGCCTCTGACTGTGCTGGGGAAATAAATATTAAAGTTAAGCTTCCTATTTGTAATGAAAGGTGAGTTATTCCCAGAGAGCGAAGCAGGCTGGTGAAGGTCATGCTGTAAGAGGTTGGGAGACCTGGGAATAGATCCGTAGGTTCCCAAAATTTGCTTTCATGCCAGTAATAGCACAGTTAGATTGCCACTTGCCAAGTGACAGGCTGCGGACAGGGTGCTGTAACATGGCAATAGCTGTAATTCTCTCTCCGAGGGTTGAGCAGTGCTTCCTTTCAGATCACTTGTTTGGGGAGAACCTGGAAAAAATAGATGATCTGTCTAGCTGTAGCTGGGTATTTGTCAGAGATGTCTCTTCTGTCACTCCCTTCTGCAGAGGGATGTCATAACAGAATTTGTGAACTTTTCTTGTGGGGCAAGGTGAACTGGAAGACTGGCTTGTGGCAAAGGAGGTCTTGATGCATACAAAAACCCAAATGGTTTGAGCATGAACCAACTTCTGTGCTTGATTTGCTTGTTAAACCTTGAAAGCATTCTAAAATCAATCTCACGGTGTTGAGGTAACTTCTAAATATTTTTTTTTTTTTCCTTGAAAGAGTTTTTTTCCTTTGCTTTTTTTTTTTCTTTTTTGGTGCGTATACAGGAGGCTGCAAACTGCAGCTCACCTCATTGCAGTGATGCCAGGAGAGAAGCTGCAGTAGTGCTGCCTGTTCCCGGTCACAAAGGGCCCAAGCAGCCAAGTCCTGTGGAGCTTCTCAAACCATTCTCCCACTGCAAGTATGCTGCAAAGCTTATTTGCAAGTCTTCATGCCGAAACAAACAGCACACAGATGCAGGGATATTTACGGCGCAGGCTCAATTTGTTTTACAAATATTGACAAGAAATGGCTTGTTTGGCAGCAATGTTTAGCACAGAATTTTGGCTTTGCTCTTCACATTCCACTGTAGCGGACTTCTTTGCCTTCAGATCCAAGCATTGGCAAGGCTGGCGTACATGCAGAGTTGTGGTTTGTGTGTCTGCTTCCCTGTGGCGATGGCAGCAGTCGTCTTCTTTTATTTTTCTTTATCAGCGGTGGTTTTTTTGTTTCTTGTCATTCCCGTTCTTCCCCTCATTTTCAGGAGAAAGCAAGCACATTGCTCCACTGATGGAAATCATTATGGATCGCTAAGTCTCGGCAGTACATTCGGTATTTCATACAGCGCAGGTTTGTGGCTGGAGGCGGGCTGCCTGAATTGCTGGTTTGCATGGAAACCGCGCTCCTTGGCCTCCGCTTTTGTTAGGTCTGTGGTACAAGGCAGAGGTTAGGCTTGAGCTTTCCGTTCCAGGTTGAGTAGTCTCAGGGAGACCGGGGAGGTTAGTTTTTCAGCATAATGTGGGGAAATACTTGGGTTCTTGCTGAGACTGTTAGCGTGGAATAGAAGAGGTTGCCACTTCAGTTTGTCACTTTGTGGCAGGATAGCGGAGGTCCCCAGTGCAGAGGTTTGGGGGATGCAAGGCTGGGAAGTGCCAGGTACCTGCCTTCCCTGTGCGGTTAGGCTGGCTTGCCTGAAATGCCACACTGGAGCGGGGCCCTGCCGAGCCCAATGCACCCAGGGACGCCTCTGCGTGCAGTATTGCAGATAAGGCCCTCGTTCACGGGAGATTTCGGTTGCTTTGCGCAGGCAGGTAGATGCCCCCTGCTAGGGATGAAGGGGCAGCATGAGACTTGCTTCAGCATTGAAATGGTCACTGTTTGCTCCTGTGTGCTGCGATAGCATATGTGGCTCTGTACACAATTAAACATGAAGCTCTTTCATTTGTGAATAAAAGACCCACAAACGATGCGGTGAAAATACATTTTATTCTAGCCTTTCCATGTTTTAATTAGGAAGCCTTTGCTGAGGCATTTGATGTTGAATGAATGGTGGTGTGAGAGAGGACAGAGTATTGAATTAATAATACCTGGTAAAATGCAGTCTTCTGTGTGATGGCTACTTTCTGTCGCTGTCGGTTTGAACAGAGCGCTCTCTGCTACCTGTTATTTATTGCTTTCCTCCCTGTAGTACCTGGTGCTTCATTTCCGAGTTGAGGCTAACTGGTAGCAGGGATAGAGCACGATGTTGTGGGTGCAGGTTGGTAAATCTGCAGAATGTCCCAGAAAAATGGATCAGTCACCTTATGAGCAAGTATTTTGAGTCTTGCGTTCGGGGAGATGCCACGTTAATAGGAGCTGAGAGCCCCAGCTTCTGTTCCTGGCTCACTGAATGATTCACTTGTTACTCTGTGCTGTTAAAAAAGGTGTATGTTTTCCAGGCAACTGCGTAAATATTGCCTGATTCATTAGTCAATGTTTATAAAGAGATTGGAGAACTTCGAAAGGAAAAATGCTGCAGCAGCACAAATGAGCGCTCTTCATTTAATGCATTCAGATGCTGTTGGGATGGGGGTGTGAGCAAGCAGAGGACTATTATTGAATTATTTTTAGTAGGAGGCTGATAGAAATTTTGAAAATGGAAGATGTCTGCAAAAAAGGAAGTGTCTTGCCCTTTTGTGCGATCTTGGAGTTGGGACACTGCTTGCTGTAACAGCAGGTTGAGCTGGTGTGTGCTGTGCCGGAGGGCGGATGGTCTGTGCCTGTGCTGCGGAGCCTCTGCGTCCCACGGTCCCCCATGGAAACTCTTGGCAAGTCCTTATGGTGGCAAGTAAACCGTACAAAGTGATGTGCCTGGGAGCACAATAAGGTGAAATTACTGCATGAGTGAAAGGCGAAATGTTTGTTGCTTGTCTTTAAAGCAGACAAAACTCCAGTCCCAGTTTGTGATGCCCTGAGGACTGTTTTTAAAGAGCAATCAATACAAAATTATCCTCTAGCCTTCTTGAGTAGGTTTTGTGATAGATCACGGGGTGGCCAAGGACTGACGTTACTTGGAAGAGTGTAACTAGCTTGGGTGAAGTGGAAGGGGAAAGAAAGTAAAATGGCTTCGCTGAAGAGAAGAAAATGTGTTTGGGAGGTTATAAAATGCATTGTGGTCGGGTGCAGTTTGGAGGAGGAGGCAAAAGAGGTTGAAACTAGCTCTTTCCATCCTGGATGTGATTTAGTGGACATTCCTGGGTTTTCCTGTTACTGAATTGTCTCGGATTTTTTTATGGACTATAACTCCTGCCCAGCTGTGGACTGGTATT